CTATTTTGGTTGTTGGGATCAAAGTGTAAAGGCAAATAACCATGGTACCCTTGTATACCTATCTTGGTTGTTGGGATCAAAATGTGAAGCCAAATAACCATGGTACCCTTGTATACCYATCTTGGTTGTTGGGATCAAAATGCGTAGGCAAATAACCATGGTACCCTTATATACCTTTGCTGGTTGTTGGGATCAAAATGTGAAGCCAAATAACTATGGTACCCTTATATACCTTTGCTGGTTGTTGGGATCAAAATGCGTAGGCAAATAACCATGGTACCCTTGTATACCTATGTTGGTTGTTGGGATCAAAATGCGAAGCAATATAACCATGGTAGAGTGCTCGCACTAAACCCGTGAAACAAATACTAATTTTTAGTACTAAACAGTGATAATCAAACAATAGGAAACAGAGGATTCTCTATGAATTACTACTAATTAGTACTAAATATTATTAACGGGTTTAGTGCGTGCACTCTACCCTGGACGTACATAAGAGGTCAGTTCATAACAACAGCTATTCAAAATGGTCACCATTTTTAAATTGACTTTATAATTTTTTTTCGTAATCATATAGTYATTCATAATACACGAAATGAATGTCACAAAAGCCATGTTCTGTGTTAGCTGAAGCTGCAGTATTTATAGACTTGTGGTTGATGTGCTTCACAAACTTCAACGTCTCCATGTCACGGTACACTAAGGCTAATGAATTGGTCAATGGATGAACGGATAACAACTAAAAAAAGAAAAAACAAGACACATATCATTCAAAACGTCTGCATTTAAGGTAAAATACAGATATAAATCTTTATATCAGCTTTGACTATTGTAAGAAGTACGGGTGGCGTAGCGGTGTGAGCGCTTGCCTCTCATCAATGCGACCCGAGTTCGACTCCCGCCGGGTTCGGTGTTGTGTATGAGTAGAGTTGTTTGTTGGTTCTCTCCTGTACTTCGAGGGTTTTCCGGGTTCTCCGGTTTTCCTCCCTCCGCAAAAATCAACTTTTAAGTTCCGATTCGATCACGGTATGAGGGCCACAGGTTTGTTAGTCACTGGCTATTAAGTGCTATCCTCGTGAAAAAAGGGCTTTTTATTTATTTATTTTATCAAAGTATGGGCGGATCCAGTAATTTAAGACGACTATTTCAAAGGTTTTACCAGGAATTGGATGGTGACCGTCACTAAGGATGTACTGAGAAATTTAAGACGGGGGGTGACTATTTTAAAGGTTTTACCAGGAATTGGAGGGTGACTGTCACTAGGGATGTACTGAGAAATTTAAGACGGGGGGGGTGACTATTACAAAGGTTTTACCAGGAATTGGAGGGTGACTGTCACTAAGGATGTACTGAGAAATTTAAGACGGGGGGTGACTATTACAA